GTCCCTCTTCTCCCTTCTTCTGAAAAGTTCTACACTGTTCAAAAAAAAAATATATATATATTTTATAATATTAATAGCCATAATATTTTTATTTATAGTCATAATTGTAGTTGTTTCAGCCGTTAATCTAGGTAATTTTTTTTATAGAATTCATTATTTTTTTTAATAAGAAATGGAGAAATATATTGAATGATAAGAAATTACAGTACAAAACTCCATCACATGGCATATAGCCTAACGCATGAGAGTTTAAAAAGCAGAATCAGAAGCATAACTTACAGCTTAATAACAAATTTAAACTGTATCCATGACGAATATAGACAATTAAGTAAAGAGAGTCATTTACAACTAGAGATTGCAATTGCAATCGCTGTATGGGTTAAATAGAGCTACTAATGTAGAAAGGAAGGTCCCTATGAGCATTGAAAGCTACTGGACGTCCTCACCTAATTAATCAACTTATCGGGGAGAGCAAAGGATTTTAGCAACAAATAGTACCCAAACTATAGGTTGCTATCCAAGCTGTTCTTAAAAAATAATCAGCAAGAGGAGGGGTATGGTCCTCCTCTGAGCAGTCGCCAGGTACCCTATTCGTCTGCAAGTGCAGCCAAACATGTGCCCATCTGTTCCAATCCTCAACAATCCCTGGCTACCATAGGTTAATAAGGGATCTAGAGCCCCTTTACCAGCTTTAAAGTCGCAGAAGTTTAAGGCCTCTGCAAAGACTTCCATTTGTTTATATGGTCGATGGTTCCCTCCTGCCTTTTCCGATTGCCACAGAATTTCATTGAAATCACCTAAGCAAAGCCATGGTTGAGAAGAGGCAGCTTTGAGTGATTTTAACAGGGTCCATGATTCCTCTCTTCGAGCAGCCTCTGGACGTCCATAGAACCATGTGATTCTCCATTCACCCCCACCCGGATCAACGATTTCCACATCTATGTGAGATTGGGAGAAAATGGAAATAGTTAGGCTAAAATCGTCACGCCAGAGCATATCGAGGCTGCCCCCCCTTCCTACACAATCAACAGCAAAACACTGATCAAAACCTAGATCTGGGCGAATTGAAGTCATCTCCATCGCTGTGCGCTTTGTTTCAGAGAGGAAGATGATGCTGGGCTTATGTTGGAAACAGAGTTTTTTCAACTCTGAAATCGCAAAAGTTTCTCCAAAACCTCGATAGTTCCAAGCCAAAATACGAGTCTGATCCATGGAATGGAGAGGCAGAAGGCAACAAGGAAAAAGAAGGAGGAGGGAGGCCCTGCAAAAGCAAGGAGGGGCACCGAGGTGAGAGGCGCACGTCGGAGAAGGAGAACCCTAGTAGCGACGGCAAGATTTTTTATAGAATTCATTGTTAGATGTAAAAGAAATATAGATTTTTTTAATGTGTACTTTTTAAGTATAGGTTAAGGATATAATTAATATATTTTTAATTATTAATTTATATAAAAAACAAAAAAATTAATATTAATTTTACAATTAATGTTACATGTCTTAATATAATTAGTTAGTTGTTAAAATTAATATCAAACTTTATTTTTTTTATGTAATTTAATGACAAAAAGATGTATTAATTACTTACTTAACTTATACTTTAAAGGTACATATTAAAAAAATTCAAAATATATATATGAATAAAATATTTTATAAATTGTACTCTTAAATTTTTTAAAGTACATTCTTAAAATTTTTTTAATTAATATTTTCAAAAACTAATATAAATCCAAGGCATAACAGTTACCTTATCTTACCATTTAATCATGAACTAAACTAAATGAAACGCAAAATATTTACCTCATCCAAACAATCTTCAACCTCCTCCAATCAGGTACAAGAAGTAAGACAATGCTATTTACAATCTGAAAAGAAATCGCGAAAAATACCTTTGCTAAGATAGTCATTGAGTATCAAAATGTTCCATCTCACAACAATGCTTCTCCATCAAGCCAACCCTCACTTTTTTCAATGTCTTTGTAGTTTTTTCAATTTATTCATATGAGTTTTTCTAATTGCAAAATTGTGGATTATCTTTCTTTGAATTCTTGATATCCTTGTGCTTGCAAAACAGAGAATGCATGAACAATTTTCGCTAAATGATGCATTTCAAACTTTACATTTAAGTTCATTGCAAGACAGCCAAGGTGAAGAGAAACGTGCCTTTCAGACTTCAAAAGCTTAGAGGAGGAATGGAAAGGAAGTGTGCTAGTCAAACCAGTTGTGCCATCTTATCTAGATTATTGCTTGTAGGATCAGTCATGATATTACAGCGAGCACTGCCATCCACAATACTGCAGATCTAGTTGCATTCACTTTGTTCAATGCAGTAATTGATGAAATTGCAAGGTTTGAAACTTCATGACATCGATGAGGATGTGATCCTGAAATGGACAGTGGTGATCGAGGATTGTCTATCTTTGAATTTCATTACGGAGTTTGCAATGTATCATTTAAGGAAAATTAATCATGCTTACTTTAGTTTGATGGCACCAGCCAATGCAGAAGCTACATTGGATAAGTTAAATAAGTCGGAAGAATTCGCTAGTTTGGTGTTAAACCGTGCAATAATTCTTTTGTTTATGTGACGGCACAAAATCTTTTGATGGTCATCCTCTTAGAAAAGGTATTCTTTGCCAGTATTTAAGCACATTATAGAAAACCCAAGAGGGTGTAAAAAATTTAAGTTCATGGACCATTTTGGTGGTGTAGGCATTAAAAGGAGACTGGTCACTTTAACGCACTCAACCGGTTACAATGGTTGAATAAATTTGTAAAGACTATTCCCAAGTCAAAATTAAAAAATCCGTAAGAATTACTTTGCCTACAATGGCTGAATAAATTTGCAAAGATTACCTCAAATTCTAGATAAAGAAATTTGTAAGAATTACTTATTTAAAACCAATAAATATTTTAAACTCGATAACAATAGCTCAAGATCAAATTTATAAAGACTACTCAAGTTAGGATTAAGAAATTGATAAGAACTACTTCATAATGAGCTGATTCATTTCATTCAAAATTAAATCCTTGAATCTAGTAGGGAACATGTGTATAGCACCTATGATTCAAAATATAAATATAGGTACTTTTCACATAGTTACAATTTGCACAAACACAAAGACAATTCAAGTAATTCGTCTATTCATGTCTCATACCATACATTAAATTCAAATTCTAACAGCATTCCTAGGCAAAAGTGTCTTTGCTCAAAACAATAGAAGAAACAACAAGTGGGACATAAAAATTTCTTGAATTATCAAATCATAATGTAATATCTTAATTATCAAATTAACTTAAGCAATTGAATTACATAGTTGAGTGTTAAAAAAATTCATCTTAACAACATGATCAATGTATCATTGATTTTATATACGTAAGTAATTGCAAAAAATTTCCTCAATATTTATATGCAATCTAATTACCTAACACATTAATAAAAATATTTAATTTCAAAGTTAAACTTCTTTTTAGAATACAAGTACAAAATATACCAAAAAAAAAAAATTTCAACAATTAATCACAATAAACCACTCTTAAGAAAGCAAGAAACCTAGGTTTAAAGATTTTAAATCTGAAGAAGGGCATTGAGTATTGACTTGTAGTAACGGCTTAATTAGCCTAAAAATAAAGTTTGAGGGCGAAATTGGACAAAAAGGAAGTCCTAGGCCTCACAACCCAAGATTACTCGTCTATTACCTTCAGCGGCCTCGCTGACTTCCTCTGCTTCCTCTTCCTTTATGATCGCCGATGACCCGAGATACAGGCGGCAGGCGACAGCCAATTTAGGAAAAAGGGTACGTTTTCAACGGCGAAGAGGTCATAACTGGTGTGTCCGGCGCCGAAAACCTCGTTCCAGCTGGTATTATCCTTTCCCAGAGACCGCAAAAACCATCTGGAAAGTGGTTCTCGGAATTGGCGACGCTAGATGTGGCTTCTACTGCGCAGAAATCCCCTACTACTCTCATAGCCGAAGCAGTCCCCAGAGAGAGTTCCGATTTCCGGGCCGGATCCCTTAACGGTTGCAGTTGCGGTAAAAAGAGTTCACTTAACACTTTGTGTGAAAAAGTTTCCTTTTTCACCATCAGATCAAGAATCATTACATTTAAATTGCAATTTACTTCTCCACGTTTTACTAATTTCAGTTCGAAATATTTCAATTTGATTTTTTTTTTCTGAAATTTATTTACTTATTTTTTTTCATTATCAACTTTCTCATCTACCCCATTAATGCCTATCAAAAGGATGTGATGGACCGGCGCCTCTCACTTCCGACTGCTGACGGTGTAGCGTTTGGAAGAATTGTTTGGATAATCATTTCCGGTTTGATCCAAATTGCAGGTATGCGTGTATGTTTTGTGTTAGGATTCACTTACATAATTGTTGCACAAAATCTTGACTATTGGTCTCTATATTATGAATGATTGATTCAGATTTAGCATGATTGAAATCTTAATCTAAAGAGATGAATGGTAAAGATTTTGTGGAAAGATATGTGTAACTCATGTTTTTTTTAGGATTCATGGTTTTTTATCTTCCTTTCCTCCCATGATATACAAAAACCGTTTGCTTACCTTTATTTATTTGAGGACTTATTTTTCTAAGATTTTGGTTGGGAGAAGGAGTAGGGATGTTGTTAGAATTAGAATTCAATGTACAGAATGATGACATGAATAAATGACTTAATTGAAGTGTCTATGGGTTTGTGCATGTTGCAACTATGAGAAAAATACCTCTCTATAAGCATTAGTGCTATTTGAGTTCCCACTTGATTCAAGGATTTAAGTTTGAGTGGAGCTTATCAACTCACAAAAAAAGTAGTTACAAATTTCTTAAGCACACTTGAATAGTCTTTGCAAATTTCCCTAGTCAATCTTTCTGGGTTGAGAACATTATGGTGACCCTTGCTTAAGTCTTTTTGTTAGTGGTTGGGAGGTTATGTCTTCCTGTCATACATATGCATTCACATGATAAGGCTCATTAGAATTGTTTGTACCAAATGGCGATGGAGAAGTTTAAACCATTCTATTGATAGAATTAAGGCTTGATTTTGCAGATATAATTTGTGTCTCTAGTCAATAAGGAATAGTCTTGTCAGAGGGTGGCTGAAACGCATATAAAATATACAAATTGAAATTTTAGTGGTGTCAGTGTGACTTTGGTTCGCCTTTAATAACCCTGGACCACAGGAAACAGAGGAACAAAAGATGTGGAGAAAGAATTAAAATTAGAAAATAACTGCTTAAATGACCCATTTCACTTCTAAAGTTAAAGATATTTCATCAGGTAAAACTAAGATAGTTGAAGTAAAGAGTTTTTTCCATCTCCACATTTCTCTTTGTTCAAGAAAAAAGAAAAAGGACAAAGAAGCAAGCTGCAGTTTAGGTCTCATTCGAGGTTTCAAGAGCCTAACATTAGTAACCCAATATAAGGTTCCCATTAGCAGTTGTGATGAATTTCTTAATTTCACTTGAATGGTATTTGCAAATTTTTCCAATCAATGTTGATGGGTTCAGTACGTTATGGTTACCCTTGCTCAATCAAGTCTTCTTGTTAGAGGGTGGGAACTTATGTCTTCCTGTCGTATATTTGCATTCACATAATAAGTCTCCTTAGAATGTCAGTACACAATTGGGGATGGATAAAATTCAAACCTTATTTCCGGCATGGTTCACTTCACTCCCTATCATTTGAGTCTTGACAATACCAACACGAGTTTGATTGAATTGGTTCATACTAATTTCAAAACCTTAATTTTGGGTCAAAGTAAGAGTTTCAAATCCTGCAATAGTTAACTCTCTATATGCCCCAAAAAAAAAAAAAAAATTGAGCTTACCCTAATAGGTTCACAATTAAATAAGGAAAATTATTCACACATTGTCTACTTACAATGAAATTTTACAATCCTAAGTGACAATGATACTAATTATGACTTTTTTCATTTAGTGGATTGCGTGAATCTATATTTATGCATTTGATGCCATTTATTTATTATAAGAATTCATTTTAAGAAATATTGTGCGTGAATTAACTTTAATCAAATAAAGCATTACAAATTAATAATGAAAAGGTAGAAATACTGAAGAGAAATTGTTGACTTGTTATTCATATCTTTGTACATAGTACACTTACCAATCAATGAAATCAAGGAAAGAATTAAGGAAATCTTTTAGAGCATTGAGTGTCAATTAAGGGGATGATGATGACTGAATCTTCTTAAAGTGGAAGGAGAGGCTTTGAATGCAGAGCAAACTCTAACAGGTGACTTGATGAGTGGAGTAGACACAAGTTGTGACTAAATCACTATAAAGCCTTTTGTTTAAGATTTCTCTTCCCTTAACTCTAATTTCTGCAATTTATTTTAATAAGATTCAATTGTTTGTTGATTGTTTGTTCTTGCTCATTGATTTGATTTGAAAAATTGCACAAGTTTTTCAAATACCCAATTCACTCACCCTTGGGTTCCCATCATAGAGGCTAACAACATTGAGAAGATGATGGCTTAAATGACCCATTTCACTTCTAAACTCAAAGATATTTCATGAGGTAAACCTAATATGGTTGAAATTCAGTATAGAGTTTACTAGTAAAGTAAAAACTGAGAAGACAATGGACCTGAACAGATCTGTAAACTCCTTCATCTCAAAGAAAAATGTTAAACAACAAACAAGAAAAAACATTAAACAATCTTAGGTGGAAGCTGGGAGTGCTCTACCTATCTTGTTTTTTCTGTTTGTGTTTTTCCCTCCCCACATTTCCCTTTGTTCAAGAAAATCAAGTGTCAACAAAGAAATGACAGTAGTTCACGTCTCATTAGAAGTTTCAAGAGCATAAAAAAGAAATTGATGGAAAAAAAGTTGAAAACTAAGAATGACCTTACTTAAGGCTCTGTTTAATATGGTTGTAGTTTTGAGTTTTTGGTTTTGATTTATTCAAACAATCAAAACTAGCAATTAAAAACAAAAATTAAAAATTAAAATTGCCAAATTATTGGGTATAAAATTTTAAAATAAATACCTAAAACTCCAAACTTAATTAATTTATTGAACTAATTAATTATATTCTAGGGTTTCTAAATTTTTGAAAACCAAAACAAAAAACCCAAAATCACAAGCATACTAAATGGCTAAACAGTAATGTGTGAATGTTTTGTTGAGAAATTTCTGACATTATGCCCCACCTGTTGCTTCCTATTGTATTGAGCAAGAACTCTTTTGGTATGCTATTAGAATTTGAATTTAATGTATGGTTTGAGACATGAATAAGTGAATTAATTGAATTATCTTTGGGTTTGTGCAAGTTGCAACTATGTGAAAAGTACCTATATTTGTTTTTTGAGGCTTCAGTGCTATTTATGCGTTCCCTTATGGATTCTAGGATTTAAGTTTGAATGAAGTGAATCAGCTCACAATGAAGTTATGAATTTCTTAATCTTGACTCGAGTAGTCTATGCAAATCTGGTCTTAAGCCGTTGTTACCGGGTTTAGAATTTCTATTAAAGGATTTAAGTTTGAAGCAAATAAGGTTTTAAAGATGTAATTCTTATGGATTTCTTTGTCTTGACTTGAATAGTTTTTGCAAATTTATTTAGCCATTGTAGCCGGGTTGAGTCCATTAAAGTGACCTTAAATCTCCTTTTCGATGTCAGTTGTAGTTATTGTGCCTAGATCTTTCAATTTCAGTTTACGTCAACCTTTCCAGCTTAAGACTCCTTGTAGGACAGAAAACATTTATTAAGCATTATGCATACAGCCACACATTCTTACAGATTTCTTAGTCTTGACTTGAATAGTCTTCGCAAATTGGTACAGCTAATGTTGCTGGCCGGTATGAGTATGTTATGGTGACATTATTACTTTAATCTACTGCTATAACAACAAGTTATTAAATGCAGAAACGGAACAAGCAACTGGTGATCAGCATGGAATATCAAATGGGTCATTAACACTGGACTAGAGGAGACATAAAGGAAGACAGATGTGGAGAAAGAACTAACATTAGAAAATGATTGCTTAAATGACCTATTTCACTTCTAAAGTCCGAGACATGAGCATCATAATCCAAATCTAACAAAACATTGTTGCTAGAAATGTCACGATGGATTATTGGTGAAGGGCAATCATGGTGCATGTAATGTAAAGCACTCGCTAACCCTTTGATAATGTTCAATCTCTTATCCCAATCCAATCCTGCCGCTTCTTCTGGGTTGCTCAAAACTGTCCTCAAGCTCACCCTTTTTGTAAACTCATAGATCAAGAATGAATACTCTGCATTAGAACAACAACCATAAAACTTGACAATGTTACGATGTCATATGTTCGCTAGAGCACAAATCTTGCTTTCAAATGCTCGCTAGTTGCTGGATTGATTGTCATCTGATGGGTTAAGTTTCTTCATTGCAACAACTCGACCTGTTGTCAACGCAGCTTTGTAAACATTCCCATATCCTCTTGAGCCAATGCAATAGTTGGAGTTGAATTGCTCCGTAGCTTCAAGAATGTTTTCATAGAGGATTTTCCCATCATATCCCCATATGGCAAAAAGATCTTGAAGTCGGCACTCTTTTATCTCAGATTTTTTGCAATGAATAAGAAGTAAACACCCCCACCAAGATAAATAACAGGGATAGAACACCCAAAATTGGCGTAATGATTAAAATCACTAGTCCACTGGTGCTTTTCTTCTGACCTTCAGAGACACAATGCAGGAGGCCAATGGCATTGCCACAGAGGCCTTTATTGTCTCTAAGAGCATCAAATGGGGCAAGAAGGAAAGCTTTAATAGGCGGGATAGGGCCCTCTAACTGATTATAAGAGATGTTAACATAAGTTAAGCTCTTCAATTCATCAAAAGTAGGAGGAATGAAACCAGAGAGCATATTATGAGAAAGATTCAGCATTTCCAACACACGTGATCCTCCAAGCTCTTGTGGAATCTCTCCTGTTAATTTATTCCAACTCAAATCAAGAGATTCAAGGGCAAATATTTTGCTTATTTCAGATGGAATACTTTCCTCAATTAGATTGTTGCTCAGGTTCAAGTGTAATAACCTGAAGCAATTCCCAAGTTGTTCTGGAATTGGGCCAACCAGCTTGTTCTTTGCCAAGCTAAGCTGTTGCAGATTAACTAGGTTTCCTATCTCTGGTGGGATTCTGCCAAAGAGTTGGTTGTCATTTAGCAAGAGATAAGCCAGGGTCGTCAGCTTGCCTATTTCCTTAGGAATCTCCCCACTCAACTGATTTAAAGAAAGGTCGAGCCGAGTCAATTGAGTGGCTTGAGCTAGCTCAGGAGGTATCCTACCAGATACCTTATTGTTGGAGATCTGCAAGTTTGTGAGGTTTTGACATAGGCCCCAGTTTGGAGAAAGTTCACCGTACAACTTGTTATCACTCAAATCAATAAAATCCAAGTTGAGATATATACCAAAAGCTTCTGATATATTTTCTTCAAGTTGATTCTCCTCAAGCCTTGCCCTGTATAAGGTAGTGCAGTTTCTCAAACTTCTTGGGATGGGACCAGTTAAATGGTTTCTGTTGACAGCCAAATATTCGAGTGAGCCTCCATGGCATATTTTGTCAGGTACATGGCCAGTGAGTTGATTATAACCTAATTGTAAAGATCCCAAAACAGTAAGGTTATTCATTTCTACTGGAATAGGACCAGACAGCTGATTGTTATCAAGGATAAGTTCAATAAGTGAACTTAACCTTCCTATTTCACTAGGAATAGAACCAGATAGCTCATTTTCAAAAAGGGAAAGATGTTGACAATTGCTTAAGTTTCCTATTGATGCAGGGATTGGACCAGTAAAGGAATTGAGATGAAGGAAAAGAATAATAACTGAACTCATC